TATTGATATAATAATAATATATAGAGCATTGATATAATAATAATATATAGAGCATTGATATAATATATAGAGTATTGATATAATAATATATAGAGCATTGATATAATAATATATAGAGTATTCATATAATAATAATAATAATAATAATATATAGAGATCATTGATATAATAATAATATATAGAACATTGATATAATATATAGAGTATTGATATAATAATATACAGAGTATTTATATAATAATATATAGAGCATTGATATAATAATAATATATAGAGCATTGATATAATAATATATAGAGTATTGATATAATATTATATAGAGTATTGATATAATAATATTATATAGAGTATTGATATAATATATAGAGTATTGATATAATAATAATATAGAGAGTATTATAATAATATATAGAGTATTGATATTATTAGTAGTATTATTATTATATCAATACTCTATATATTATTAGTATTATTATTATTATTATTATAATATATAGAGTATTGATATTATATAGAGTATTGATATAATAGAGTATTGATATAATAGAGTATTGATATAATAATATAGAGTATTGATATAATATATAGTATTGATATAATAATATAGAGTATTGATATAATATATAGAGTATTCATATAATAATAATAATAATATATAGAGATCATTGATATAATAATAATAATAATATAGAGCATTGATATAATAATAATAATATATAGAACATTGATATAATATATAGAGTATTGATATAATAATATACAGAGTATTTATATAATAATATATAGAGCATTGATATAATAATATATAGAGTATTCATATAATAATAATAATAATAATATATAGAATTCATTGATATAATAATAATATATAGAGCATTGATATAATAATAATATATAGAGCATTGATATAATATATAGAGTATTGATATAATAATATTATATAGAGTATTGATATAATAATATATAGAGTATTGATATAATAATAATATAGAGAGTATTATAATAATAATATATAGAGTATTGAAATAATAATAATAATACTACTAATAATAATATATAGAGTATTGATATAATAATATAGAGTATTGATATAATAATAGAGTATTGATATATTATATAGAGTATTGATATAATAATATATAGAGCATTGATATAATAATATATAGAGAGTATTGAAATAATAATAATAATAATAATATAGAGAGTATTGATATAATAGAGTATTGATATAATAATATATAACGTATTGAGATAATAATATTAATATATAGAGTATTGATATAATAATATATAGAGTATTAATAATATATAGAGCATTTATATTATAATATATAGAGTATTGATATAATATTAATAAATAGAGCATTGATATAATAATAAATAGAGCATTGATATATATAGCGTATTGATATAATAATATATAGAGTATTGATATAGTAATATGTAGAGTATTGATATAATATATAGAGTATTGATGTAATAATAATATAGAGTATTGATATAATAATATATAGAGTATTGATATAATAATATACAGAGTATTGATATAATAATATATAGAGTATTGATATAATAATATATAGAGTATTGATATAATAATATATAGAGCATTGATATAATAATAGAGTATTTATATAATAATAATAAATAGAGCATTGATATAATAATAGAGTATTGATATAATAATATATAGAACAATGATATAATAATAATATATAGTATTGATATGATATATAGAACAATGATATAATAATTATAATATATAGAACAATGATATAATAATAATTAATATAGAATATTGATATAATATATAGAGCATTGATATAATATATAGAACAATGATATAATAGTTATAATGTATAGAACAATGATATAATAATTACAATATATAGAACAATGATATAATAATATATAGAGTATTCATATAATAATATAGAGCATTGAGATATATATATTGTGATCCTTGTCGGCAGGTAGCACGGTCCTCTAGGGCAAAAACATGCACAGTCCTTGTAAATGCATATACTCCAGGCACTTTATTTTTAAATCCACACAGGATACAGCAGTAAATGAAAAACATAAATGTAACACAAAACCTTATAAACAAAAACCTAGCTCATCTGAGCACTAACTCACTTTGAATAACCCTCTCTATCAGGGTTAAACTAACAAAACATACTGCACCAACCTTATTAGTTAGCAACACTCTGCTAGCTAGCCTGTTGCTTTCCTTTCTGCACTCCCAGTGCTCCAAGCCAGCCTTGCCCTGACTGCTTTCCTTTCTGCACTCCCAGTGCTCCAAGCCAGCCTTGCTCTGACTGCTTTCCTTTCTGCACTCCCAGTGCTCCAAGCCAGCCTTGCCCTGACTGCTTCCTTTCTGCACTCCAGGTGCCTAGTCTCCTTGACTCTATCTGGAGAGAACAGCCTCTCTCTCCTACCTGCTTCCTGGGAGGAAGCCAGCAATCCCTCTCCTTTTCCTGCCTAGCCGGGAGGGGTTTATTCCCACTGCAATAGCTCATTAACTGCAGCTGAGCAGTGGGTTGGAGACGATCCAAAAAACCCTGGCCTGGATCTATGTCTCCCCAGAAAACCACTAAACTGTGGAGTGGAGCATTGGCCCACCCTTCTCTCCAAATGCTCCACCCCAGGGGCCCATAACTAAACAATGCTTTGTGTTGTGCAACACACAAACTACACATACTCCCCCTGGTGTTAAAAGGCCTATCTGCCTTCACTTTATCACAATATATATATATATATATATATATATATATATATATATATATATGCGATATAATGTGTGGGGGATTGGAAAGGAGCGATATAATGTGTGGGGGATTGGAAAGGAGCGATATAATGTGTGGTGATTGGAAAGGAGCGATATAATGTGTGGGGGATTGGAAAGGAGCGATATAATGTGTGGGGGATTGGAAAGGAGCGATGTAATGTTTGGGGTATTGGAAAGGAGCGATATAATGTGTGGTGATTGGAAAGGAGCGATATAATGTGTGGTGATTGGAAAGGAGCGATGTAATGTTTGGGGTATTGGAAAGGAGCGATATAATGTGTGGGGGATTGGAAAGGAGCGATATAATGTGTGGTGATTGGAAAGGAGCGATATAATGTGTGGGGGATTGGAAGGGAGCGATATAATGTGTGGGGGATTGGAAAGGAGCGATATAATGTGTGGGGGATTGGAAAGGAGCGATATAATGTGTGGGGGATTGGAAAGGAGCGATGTAATGTTTGGGGTATTGGAAAGGAGCGATGTAATGTTTGGGGTATTGGAAAGGAGCGATATAATGTGTGGGGGATTGGAAAGGAGCGATATAATGTTTGGGGTATTGGAAAGGAACGATATAACGTTTGGGGTATTGGAAAGGAGCGATATAATGTGTGGTGATTGGAAAGGAGCGATATAATGTGTGGGGGATTGGAAAGGAGCGATATAATATGTGGGGGATTGGAAAGGAGCGATATGATCTAAGGGAGGCAAAATGGATGATACGATGCAGAGAGATTTTATACAGAGTGATATGATCTGGAGAAAATGTGTGATATGATACAGAGTAAAGTTTGCGAACATGAGTAGTTACCAGACGATTTAGCACGATTTTATTTAATGGTGTATGTTAGCTGTTTTAAATTCATAATGGCATTCAGAGGCCGTGTTCACATTTTCCACCAAGTCCTGCTTGGGATTTTTCCAAGAAAGGAAGTTGGTCTGTATTCGTACAGTGATCTCCCCTTCTTTGAATGTACATGACGAGACGAGCATGACGAGAGATGTCATGGTGTGGCCGGTTGCTATAAAAGCTAATGACAGGAGAATGTCTACTGGCAGGAAATGTTATATGAGACGTTTCATTTCTTTTTAGGTTGAAATTGGTGTAAAATATCGATGCAATTGAGTAATTGTAGAGGTGAATACAAGTTCAAGCAGGTGCAGCAAGATCAGAGCCAATTCCGAGAGCTTCTGAGCAACTCAGAGATGAACAGGACCAGGAGTGAAATGACTGAGAAGATCTTGGATTTCACCCTTGAGTTTGTCTATCTGGTGACTGGGGAGGTGAGTCATTCTGAAAAATGTGATCTATATCCTGACTTATTATTCTTCTTATTAGGGGTTCCCCAAGTATTCTGTGTAAGTAGGTCTTTAGCAGGGTCATAAGAACAGTTGTGATGTTTGGATAGATAGTAAGGCAGCTCACTCATCCAAGAAAAAAAGAATTACAGCATTTCTTAAAGATAGAATCTATATGATATTGTCATGTTGATGGTGTTGGAGTTTCATTGAAATTGTAAAATAATCAAAAGATATACTGAGACAAAGTGGGGGCTATTCTAACTTATGGTAAATCCTCAAGTTGACAAAAGTCCGAGCTTCCGCCATTAAGTTTTGTTACTTCTCAAAACTGTCGCCAGCAACGGCCGTGGGAATCAGGCATTGTTTCTCTTATTGGGATACATGATGTATGTAGGCTCGTGTCTTGCGGGATCCTCCATAGACCTTCGCACTGCATGAGCAAGAGTACAGCACTGATGTGGGCTTCTGGTGGACGAAGCAGATTCTGCAAGGAGCTGAAGCCTGAAGATGGCGGCACCTGCGGGCCACTGTACCCCAGGCAGTGATGTCACTATAAGCAGTATTTGTAAAACATGCCAAACCTGTGAAGGTGACAAAGCATCTTTAAGCCAAGAAATGATTGGTTGTATATATTTATTGTCTCTCTTTGTGTGTGTGTGTATATATGTATATATATATATATAATATATTGTGGCAGGATGGCCGGGCTCTTGACAATAAACTTCAAATGCAAGCATCAGGATAAAATAGTATTGCAGTTTATTTGCACTTTCAACAAGGTTTGTAATGCTGTGCTTCACAGAAATAAATAAAACAAAAAGAAAATAAACTCTACTCCATGTTGGAGACTAACTAAACTATAGTATTCCTATGAGAAATCAGCACTTTTATAAATTAACCCGGGAACTCCCCCCTGCCTGTCAATCAAACAGCCAGGGAGGAATCCTTCCTACTTCTGTTAGCTCCCCTGAGCTAACGGAAGTGGCAGGCATGATATACTTGAGTGTGCCTGGCTCCGCCTCCCTCACAGACCTCAGACCAGCTCGACAGTTTCATCCCTGCACCTGCGACTGGTGCGTGTACACGGTTTGGTATACGTGCACGCAGCATTGTGCATGAGCCGGCGCGTTTGCACATGGGGACCAAGTCAGAGGTTTCTCAATGAGAACTCTCTGATTGGGTATTTCCTTGTGAAGAGACTGAAAGTCTCTAACATCGATCTGGGAAAAAAGAGGAGGGGCTTACAAAGGCTGCAGTCATAAGAACTGCAACTTTTGTAAGCTATTTTAAACTATATTCCCAATGAATACATACATGAAAATATGCATGTATGTATTCATTGGAGGTATATCAACTAAACTGTGTTTTTATTTTTGGTTTGGGGGTTTGGAAGTGTGGAGTGGTCCTTTAACTGCCTCCTCTCTACCAGCTATTAGACTCCCTGATGCCTCCAGAGGCTGACTTGTTAAACCCCTAGTGCAGGTTATTATTATTATTATTATTATTATTGCCATTTATATAGCGCCAACAGATTCCATAGCGCTGTACAATATTATGAGAGGGGGATTTAACTATAAATAGGACAATTACACAAAACTTACGGGAACAATAGGTTGAAGAGGTCCCTGCTCAATCGAGCTTACATTCTATAGGAGGTGGGGTGTAAAACACATTAGGACAGGAATTTGCAGTCAAATAAGGTGGGCTGCCCTTTAGGAGAGAGCAAGAGACAGGTATGTGAGGTAGAGGTTAGTCTTGGAGGCCATAAGCTTTCCTAAAGAGATGGGTTTTAAGGCACTTAAAAGATGCAAGACTAGGGGAGAGTCTGATGGCGGTGGCAGGCTATGCCATAGGAAGGGCGCCGCCCGCGAGAAGTCCTGCAAGCGTGAGTTGGCCGTACGGGTGCAGACAACGGACAGGAGGTGGTCACAGGCAGAGCGGAGAGACCGAGAAGGGACATGCCTATGGATCTGTGAGTAGATATAAGAGGGGCTATAATTGTTCAGTGCTTTATGGGTGTGAATTAATACCTTGAATTGACTCCTATAGCATACAGGAAGCCAATGTAAGGACTGGCAGAGGGGTGAGGTGTGAGAGAACCGACTAGAGAGGAAAATCAGTCTGGCAGCAGCGTTCATTATGGACTGTAACAGTGCAGTACGGCTTTTGGGAAGACCAATCAGGAGAGGGTTACAATAATCCATACAGGAAATTACTAGAGCATGGACATGCTCCTTGGTAGTATCTGGTACAAGAAAGGGGCGGATGCGGGCTATGTTTTTAAGATGGAATCTACAGGATTTCGCAACATGCTGGATGTGAGGCTCCAAGATGAGGCCAGAATCAAGAATGACGCCAAGACAGCGCGCTTGCAAGGATGGACTGATGTGGGTACCACAAACTTGAAGGGAGAGCGAAAGAGGGGGATCAGTATTAGGAGGAGGAAAGACAAGGAGTTCAGTTTTAGAGAGATTGAGTTTCAGAAAGCGGGAGGACATCCAGTCAGAGATGGAAGAAAGGCAAGCAGTGACACATTGCAGGACGGCAGGGGAGAGGTCCGGGGAGGAGAGATATAACTGGGTGTTATCAGCGTACAGATGGTAGTGGAATCCAAAAGAGGTAATAAGTTTGCCAAGAGAGGCAGTATAAAGAGGAAATAGAAGGGGACCAAGGACAGAGCCTTGGGGAACTCCAACCGAGACAGGACGAGGGGAGGAGGTATCACTAGAAAAGGAGACACTGAATGAGCGTTGGGAGAGATAGGAGGAAAACCAAGAGAGGACAGAGTCACAGAGACCAAGCGATTGAAGAGTTTGAAGAAGGAGAGCATGATCAACGGTGTCAAAGGCCGCAGAGAGGTCAAGAAGAATTAGTATGGAGTAGTGGCCTTTGGATTTAGCTGTGATTAGAGCGTTAGTAACTTTGATAAGCATGGTTAATTACATAAACCTGAAAGGGATGTCTTCCACCAATTAACCCCATCATGCTGGCAATAGAGAGCGCTCCAACCTGTTACCCTGACCATGCCACAGTATATCTAGACATTTTCTGGGAAAATACATGTAGATTTATGTTTCTTTTTTAAATTTTTATTTTATTCTGTTTTTTTTGCAAGAAATATGTAATGTATCAACTTTACAGAAGAAAGATCATTACATGTCAGAACAAGCGTAATACAGTGTGAACAGTAAACAGATGCAACATAACAGGGTGCCATTTACAAAGGCAAACAAACTGTTGTCATGGCGATGTTAAAACTATGGTAATTAAACCATGACCTAGGTAACAGTGTAGTAAACATAATGTCACTGTTGGTGCAGTGTGGAGGTACGGTAGATGTAAAACTCTTGATGTTATATTTAGCATCGGTGAGCCTCAACTATTAGTTGAGTGCGTATACTTTGGGTTAGTCATCCTCTGGATCTGTGAGCTAGGGTTAGGCATGCGTGCCCCATGTTATGTTTAGCGGTTATCATATGTTTTTTTCCCATACTTTCCATGCTTTTATGAATGCGTGTGTGTCTTTGTGTGTCTTAGCATCACTAAGTCTCAGCCTTTCTAGGTAGGTTGAGGACACCTAGTATAGCCAGTGTGTTTTGGACTTCTGACCACAAAGGTTGAATCTTTTGGCACGTCCACCACACGTGTATGAGTGTGCCTTCATGGAGCGATCATCGTCAGCACAGTGGAGATACAGTTGGGTATATGTGGTGAAGCTTGTGGGGGTTCATGTACCACCTATACAGTAGCTTCCTGTGGGCCTCAATATGTTTTTAGCATTACGTCCATTTGGACAGGTCATTGAGTGCTCTTAGCCAATCTGCATCCGTGAGTGAGATGGCGCAGTCTGTTTCCCAGTAGGGATCGACCGATATTGATTTTTTAGAGCCGATACCGATAATCTGTTAACTTTCAGGCCGATAGCCGATAACTTGCCGATATTCTGTACATTTACCATTTTGAAAAAATAAACTATTTCTAAAAGGTAAATGCACAAAATATAAAAGCCACATGCAGTGGATGCAGTGTGTTTAGACAGTGGAGCTGTGTATATTTGTGTAGTGTATATATAATGAATGCAGGGTGTGTTTGTGTAGTGTGTATAGTTAATGCAGTGACTGTGTAGTGTGTATATAATGAATGCAGAGTGTGTGTTTGTGTAGTGTGTGGTGTATAAAGGGAATGCAGTGTGTGTGTGTGTAGTGTGTGTAAAGTGAATGCAGTGTTTAGTGTGTATAGCGAACGCAGTGTGTGTATAGTGAATGCAGTGTGTGTAGTGTGTGTATAGTGAATGCAGTGTGTTTGTATAGTGTGTGTGTATATAATGAATGCAGTGTGTAGTGTGTGTATATAATGTAGTGTGTCTGTGTATATATGATGCAGTGTTTGTAGTGTGTGTATATAATGCAGTGTGTGTAGTGTGTGCATTAAACACACACACTACATTATATAGACACACACTGCATTATAGACACACTACACTATATACACCCTCTGCGTTATATACAGAGTGTGTAGTGTGTGTGTATATAATGCAGTGTGTGTGTGTGTGTTTTCCTGAAGGGATGTGATTTGTGTATAATGGGGGAGGCATTTTTTTATTTTAATTTTTAATGTTTGTTTTATTTTATTTTTTAATATTTATGTTTATTTTAATTTTTAATATTTGTTTATTTTAATTTTTAATATTTGTTTATTTTTTTATGCTTATTTTTAATAGTTATGTTTTATTATTTTTGTTGTCCCCCCTCCCTGCTTGTTACCTGGTCAGGGAGGGGGGATATGACAGTCCCTGGTGGTCCAGTGGCATTGGCTGAGCTGGGGGGAGCCGCAGGTAGCGTTTACTTACCTCCCCTGCAGCTCCTCCAGCTCCCAGTGTAAATCTCGCGGCCCTTAGTGCCGGACGGCCGTGGGTCTCGCGAGACTTACACTGGGAGCTGGAGGAGCTGCAGGGGAGGTAAGTAAACGCTACCTGCGGCCCCCCCCCCCAGGACCGCTGGGCTTGTAATGAGCCTGGCGGTCCTAGGAGGTATTATCGGCAATATCGGTATCTATAGTGGCCGATACCGATATTGCCGAAAATACCGAATATCGGCCGATTATATCGGTATAACCGATAATCAGTCGATCCCTATTTCCCAGTGTGGAGGGTTGTGGCCTTTGGCCTGGAGAGGGCTACACAGCATCGATCTACAATCAGTTGGGTTGGGAGAGGGTCATGGTATGTTGTAGGCTATTGGATAGTCACGTGTGAGTTGATGATTCCTTTAAGTTGTAGATAAGGGAACATAGCATGGGGAGGGAGATTCAATTTCATTTGCAGCTCTGGGAATGATATTACTACCTGTTTGTCTGGGAGTTGACAAACTTGGGAGATCCCCGCCATGAGCCATCTCTTGAGGGGTATATCAGGTGAAACTGCTCTTAGGGTCTTTAAGGGAGCCTTGACGTGGAATTTCGCCTTACAGCCTAGAGTGTCCCAATATCTAAAGGTCAGCTGTGTGACTGGAAAGATTTCTGGCTGTGTTGTTCTAAAGTGTTTGGGTGTCCACATATAGTCAGCGAGTTTGTGTTCCTGAAATTGCTTTGCCTCCATGTCCATAGATTTGTTTCTTGTAGGTAATGTGTCTATTTCTATAGAGAACTTAGAATATTCCAAGAAAAATGAATACTGACATCCATGATTTTTTGTAAAATTCAGTGATGGTAAACGATCTCTCTGCATTTTTATATAAGTAATATGTGTTTCAATTATCAGGATTATATTTTTATGAAGAAGAATGAAGAGCGTGTTATAAATGGCAGCAGTCCCCATGTGTCACAAAGTATCTCTAGGACAGAGGGCATCAACAGGATGCCTCCACCTCACTCACTGATTCCGGACAGGAACCATGATAAGAAGATCCTGAAACTGACCAACAAAATCATCCACCTGCTAACTGGGGAGGTGAGGCTGCAAGGACTGGGACTGTCACGTTTTTGGTGGTTATGGTGTTAGGACACAAAAACGTCAGTAGTAAATGAAAAGATTTTGTTTTATAGTACTTTACAAGCTGATACAATTAACACTTTACTAATAGACATTTCCAATAATAAGTAATAGAAATAAGTTACTGCAGTTAAAGGGATGCTATAGTGCCCTCTGGTCCCCTTTCTGTTGCAATGCTGCAATGCTTTACTAGTGGGGATTTAATTGACGCTGGATGTCTTCATGCAGAGAGTGAGAACATCCAGGGCCAGTTAGACGATCAAAAATCGCTTAGCAAACAGGAAATGCCTCTATTGTCTGTCTGATTGACAACCGCTAGTTTCTCAAAAACTGCAATGATTTACATTGAAGGACTAAGGGGGGCATGGACACTGCACCCAGACCACTTCATAGAGCTGAAATGGCCTGGGTGCCTATAGTGTAGCTTTAACCTTTGCTCTGGACACCTTCTGACAAGGGCTTTATACAGTAAAACCAAGGGATGTGTCTGGATAATGACTGTATCATTGTGTGTATCAGGTTCCAATAAGGTGTAAGCATGTCACTCTCTTCTTTTCCATGTAGGTGTGGGAATATTTAGAAGGGCACGGAGATCTTTACAAGGAAGTGATCATTGAGACTCACCAACCTCTCAGTGCACTGGGTAAGAATGATTTAGTCCATGGTATTTGTGACGGTAGTAGTCTGTATCACCGTCAAGTATTCCCTTTTTCCCAATAACAGAAAAACCACAATAATCCACAGGGTAAAATAACGCTGGTATCGCCAAATAATCCACACATGAGCCAAAGCTTAATGGTGGAACAAGACTGATTTACTGGAAGCAACAGGCATTCAATTTATACAGTACAAGCTCCTCCTCTGGGCCAGGCTAGATAATTGATTTTCAGCAACATACTAAACTCAATTATCTGCTGGCCGGAAACATTAACAATTTTCAACGTATTTTGAAAAATACTTTCTGCATAACATAGAAATATATAAACCACATGCCTGGGTAGCTGAGGATACTGAGAGTCACATATCAAAATTGCACGAAAATCCGTTCAGTAGTTTCCGTGTCGCATCGTATGGAAGTTTGACCGGCTCGCCATGTGGTTGTATCCGATTTAGAGTTCCATGAACTCAGTAGCAAGAGCCGGTCTCTGTTCGTGCAGAATTACACGAAAACTACGATAGGTATGTTGCAGCTGGTTACATGAGAGTGCTCTCCTCGTTCGGTAGATTAAAACTCCCGAACGCCGGTTTGATACTATGGGTGGAAATAGGTCAGACGGGACTTCCATAATGACCGGGCGTTCGTGTGATTGCCATGCCGAAAACATTTCCAGGCAATCCACGAGTAAGTCCCGCTGGCTGCATTCGGAGATTTAAGATGGCCTCCATCCTTTTTCTCTCGCCACGTGTTTGTATGCCGAATGGCAGCCACCTAGGAGCACTCAATTAAGTTGCGTTTTTTTTGTATGGTTACTCGGTGTTCTAAGTTCTGATTGCTACCCAGGGTGGTCTCCGTTCGGTAGAACAAATACATTTCCCGAACACATAATTAAAACGAATCGTTCCAAGGCAGTTAAAGAGCAGGGAGAGGAAACAACCGAATGAACACAGGTAAATACAGGGAAATCCTTTACAATGGCCCCCCTTTTTCTCCCTGCTTCGGCAGACCCTGTTGGACATTTCCTGGTCCAGTAGGGCTGATGGGAAATCCAAGGTTTAGTCTGATGCCAGGTCAGTTTGGCGTGACAGCCCGTCTGCATTCCCGTTTTGCTTGCCTGGGCGATAATAGATAGTAAAGTCATAGGGTTGTAGGGCAATGCTCCAGCGCAGCAACCGGGCATTATACCCTGAGACCCGGTTAAGCCAGACCAAGGTATTGTGGTCAGTGATGAGAGTGAAGGCACGGCCATAGAGATAAGAAGTGAGTTTTTTGAGGGCCCAGACCAAGGCAACAGCTTCCGACTCAGGTAGGCTACCGGGTGCTCTCCTCTGTCCTCTCCAATCTGGCTTAATTCTGCCCCCAGTCCAAACATTGATGCGTCTGTGTGGACAATAAATCTTTTGTTAGGATCTGGGGCAGCTAACACCGGAGCATTAACAAGAGCATTTTTTAATGCTTGGAAAGCCACCTCACACTCCGGGGACCACAGGACTTGTCGGGGTAATTTCTTTTTGGTTAATACATTTCCAGAACACATAGTTAAAACGAATCGTTCCAAGGCAGTTAAAGAGCAGTGAGAGGAAACAACCGAATGAACACAGGTAAATACAAGGAAATCCTTTACAGTATTTTTGTATACCTAGCAAATATCACCAGGTGTTAACAGTATTGCAAGGTAAGGTAGAAATCATAAAATATTTGGTGTAGAAAAATGCATTTACTAGTTCCAACTTCAACTTGTAACTTGTCTGAGATCCACTAAATGAAATGGGTCAGAATCTGGACGATGTTACCTGGAATGTACGTTATAAAACGTATTTACAAGAAATACAAGCACACCTACCACAATGGGAAGCACACATATATCCACCTTGATATCCCCAAATATGAAAACTTCTGGAGTTAAAACATATGAATGAAGAGAACAACGGTCACGGGATCTCCTTGCTCCATAATTTAGGGAAGGCACATATGTACCAATGATGTGAGTCTCTTCTTCCAAATGACATCCTGCATATACTCATCTTAAAGTGAATCTGTCACGATATAGGTTTGCATTGTTCAAGCCATCTGCCTTGATCCATGTGATACAATTAAAGGGACACTCCGGGCTAAAATACTTTATGTGTGAAGGGTGTGTCATCTTTTTGTAATTTAACTAAATGTGCAGGTTTTAATAGAAATTAGCATTTTTATAAATTAGCCTTGTTACTCTTCATGGACAATCAGACAGCTGGTCACGTGGCGTTCTAGTTGTTTAGCTCAGTGAAGCTAAACTCGAGATGCAGCTATAACCCAGAGCACCTGCCCTGCAAAGACTTCTCATTGAGCTGAAATATGAAGTCTGATTGGACAGCCAGATTGGACAGCCAGAGAGAGTCTGGGTGGGTTCTATTGTCTGCTTGCAGTGGCAGCAGACAACAGAACTGCACTTTTCTGGAAGGCGGGGTGGGGTGGGCATTAACGACTAGGAGAGTGTAGTGGGAATGGTTAGATGTGCACAAAAGAAAGGGTAAAAGAGTAGGCAATGGCAGATCCATTTTAAAAGGATAGTCTAGACCCCTAAAGTACTTTATCTCTCTCAAGTGTTTTATGTGTGAAGAATTTGCCTGTCACGGGTTCTCTAGACTATTGTCATGGCTCCTTCGATCCTCCACTAGTCCTAGTTCCAGATGTGCTGATTGTTGTGATAGCGCTATTGATGTGTAGAGTTTCCCAATATAATGGATGCAACCAGTCGTATTGGGTAGAAGATCAGCTGAACTTTATTAGGCTACACTCAGCTTTTTGTGTACAGACCCCCAGCATGGGGTCTCCACTGGAAAAAGTACAAGCCCTTCCCCGGCACCTCTGTGTCTGGGAGATAATTGAGTCCAAAGTAGGATAACCCAATTATCTCTCAGGTACAGGAAGTACCCCAGAAACATATCACTAATATAATACAATTCAATAGGTGGATCACACTTCTGGATGTATCTGTAAAATACACAAAGCAATATAGTGTAATATTGTCGGTACAACTAATGTGTAAATGGGAGTGGAAGTCACATACTCACAAACCCAGAGCCAAATCCCAACATATGGCTCTCATGGATAGCGCTGTGGGACTTTTCTTAAGGATGTCCCCCTCCTATTTCCAGATGCTCTTGTGGTTGTTCTGGATGAACAGAAGTAAAAGCTGTGCAGGGGAGATAATAGCTCTTCAAAAACAAAACTTTATTGCTCCACAATTTGAAGTTAAAAACGGCATAAAAGCAATCCAATGAAAAAAACAGTAAAAAGATGCTAGTAATAAAACTATAGGCTCTATAAGTCCTGGAAAGAGTACTGCCAATTGGCAAAAGAGTCCAAAATAATACCCGAAACGCGTTTCGCCCCGTACCAGGGGCTTCCTCAGTCGGTTTGAAGTGCTCCTCTGTGTCGTCTTAAATTCCTCATTGCTTTCGCTTCCGGGTTCCGGCTATCGCACCTTGGAACACAACGTGCGTTCCAACTCCGACGACATGCGTTCAACTTCCGGGTGGTGTCACCTGTGTCAACTTCGGCGCACGGCTGACGTCACTGGAACGCATACCAAACGGATCGTGCGCTCCATTACGGAGTTTCTATATAATATAATGCGAGCTCGCACTGATTCCAATTATTGCACTGCATATACGCTTCATATCAATGTACATATACTTTAGATGCCAGTATGAATATAAACGCCAGTTTGTGATTCTTCCTCTTAAGCATTTTTAATATTCAATTCCCATAGATATTATTCCAATAATTACACTGATCGAATTTATATTTGTCTCAGAGCTTATTCTAAACATATCATTGTTCATTTTTAGTGAGCCTAATGGAATATTCTTTTTTAGAAAAGAAAAAATCATAAAACTGGCATACATTCGAAGAAGTAATATTTAAAGTGCCACAGTGTACTAAAAGTGCTGATGACATTTAAAGTGACAGAGTGATAAAGTGCTAACATCAAAAAAGGACTGGAGACTCATAGTGTGTCTAATCATTTTAAGACCCATCATAATCAGAATGCCGACAACTTATTTTTTTGCCCACTAAAACTTGTAAAAAAAAAGATTGGAGAGGAGGTGATTTTAATAAGAAAATTGGAATAGAAGAAATGACATTTATTTATAATTTTAATACCCCTATAACCCATGGGTTAAACTCAGATTTTGAGGTCTGTCATTTTTTTAATTCAAATAGTTTTACTATGTGTATTTTCCTGTTTTTTAGCTTTGAAAACCCATTTGTCATATGTTCATCATATAGAAAAGAAGAAACCTTTAGATCCAGTTATTAGCACTCTATCACTCTGTCACTTTAAATGTCATCAGCACTTTTAGTACACTGTGGCACTTTAAATATTACTTCTTCGAAGTATGCCAGTTTTATGATTTTTTTCTTTTCTATAGTTCCAAAGGAAAATTTGGTATTCATCTCCAAATAAATATACTCAATTAGGCTCAATAAAAATGAACAATTACAGTCCATAATGAATGCGGCGGCGAGGCTCATCTTCCTGTCCGCCCGCACCTCCCATGCCTCACCCTTCTGTCAGTCCCTACATTGGCTTCCTATAAAATATAGAGCTCAATTTAAAATTCTGGTTCTTGCTTTCAAATCTCTGCATAATGCTGCTCCCACCTATCTATCCTCCCTAATACACAAGTATGTCCCGTCTAGGCCCTTACGATCTGCTGAAGACTGACGTCTATCTTCTGTCCATACTCCCACCTCCGATGCTCACCTTCAAGATTTCTCGAGGGCTGCACCGTTCCTGTGGAACTCGCTTCCCTCTTCCTCACCCAGTCTCCACTCCTTCAAAAAATCGTTAAAAACCCACTTCTTCATAAAAGCGTATCAATTAAACTGTTAATAGCTCCTGACTGATTCCTCTTCTGCAACTGTCACTAGTCTAATACTATCCTTACCTTTTTGTGTCATTTTACCCACTCCCTCTAGCATGTAAGCTCATTGAGCAGGGCCCTCAACCCCTCTGTTCCTGTGTGTCCAACTTGTCTGGTTACAACTACATGTCTGTTCGTCCACACGTTGAATATTAAAAATGCTTAAGATATGCTTAATATAATTGAATATTATAATAATGCTTAATATAATTGAATATTAAAAATGCTTAAGAGGAAGAATCACAAACTGGAGTTTATATTCATACTGGCATTTAAAGTATATGTACATTGATATGAAGCGTATATGCAGTGTAATAATTGGAATCAGTGCGAGCTCGCATTATATTATATAAAAATTCCGTAATGGAACGCACTATCCGTTCGGTATGCGTTCCAGTGACGTCAGCCTTGCGCCGAAGTTGACACAGGCGACGCCACCTGGAAGTGGAACGCATGCCGTCGGAGTTGGAACGCACGTTGTGTTCCAAGGTGCGATAGCCGGAACCCGGAAGAGAAAGCAATGAGGAATTTAAGACGACGCAGAGGAGCACTTCAAACTGACTGAGGAAGCCCCTGGTACGGGGTGAAACGCGTTTTGGGTATTTTGGACTCTTTCCAGGACTTATAGAGCCTATAGTTTTATTACTAGCATCTTTTTACTGTTTTTTTTCATTGGATTGCTTTTATGCAGTTTTTAACTTCAAATTGTGGAGCAATAAAGTTTTGTTTTGGAAATAGGAGGGGGACATCCTTAAGAAAAGTCCCACAGCGCTATCCATGAGAGCCATATGTTGGGATTTGACTCTGGGCTTGTGAGTACCTGACTTCCACTCCCATTTACACATTATTTATACCGACAATATTACATTATATTGCTTTGTGTATTTTAGAGATACATCCAGAAGTGTGATCCACCTATTGAATTGTATGTATTATGTTTGCATTTTTGAGTGGTGTAAGGGGTTTCCACTCAGGTGGTCTGTGGCACTTAGTGCTACCACACTTATTCCCATTTACTGTATATATTTCATTATCGTTCATATCAATAATATACATGAATCCCACAAAAGTCATATCCCCGAATAGCTCGGATCTGAGCATCCAAATTGTCCAAATAGCGCTCAGATCTCTCCGGTAGAACTGAATCACCATTCGGGTGAAGTTTTGACTGGTTGACCATGAGGCAATAGCCCACAATAGTTTCACAGGATCAAAGGCAAAGAACAATCTACTTTCGGGGGTTTCCATACAAACACAGACGAACACACTCCCTGGCTCTTAGGGAGTGAATGTTCCCCCTGTTTGGTAGTTCCTTACTCCCGAACGCCATTCTCGTAGCTGGTCGGGAAAGTGGAACGGGCATCGGTACAAGTTTCCCTGGGGTTCGCAAACTTGCATAACCGACACAGAGATCCATGCAGTCAAAGACCCTATACCGCTGCCTGTGTTCGGGAGACAAAATGGCCGCCATTCCTGAGAGCACGTGTGTTCGTATATACAAATGGCGGCCATGCAGGGAAAGCACTTGAGATGATGGCTCATTTGTGGTTAACAGCCAGGGGTGGTCGGTGATTATGAGGTGCTAACAAGGGGAACCACACATATTCTGTTCGGTAAATGAACAGAAGGGAACTGATAGCCAAATACAAGGGAAACAAATATCTTGTAGTGACTCCATTCGACTATGGGGAGATTTTAGACAAAAATAAAAATAAAGGAACATGTATGAGGAGTCCTATCACCTGTGTCCTCTTTCATTTTACAATTTTTTTTCAATAGAAATTGGTACATTTATAAATTAACTTTGTTACACCTCTGGCTGTCAATCAGACAGCCAGTCATGATATTCCCTGATTGTTTAGCTCAGTGAAACTAAACTCAAGAGACAGCAATTACCCAGAGCACCTGCCTTGCAAAGACTTCTCATTGAGCTGCACTGGAAAGTCTGTGATTGGACAGCCACAGAAAGTTTGGGCGGGGAAGAAGGGGAGGGTTTGCAGACTTGACAATGTTTACCTTTAACCCCTTAAGGACACATGACATGTGTGACATGTCATAATTCCCTTTTATTACAGAAGTTTGGTCCTTAAGGGGTTAAAGGTAAACATTTGTCAAGTCGGGCCTGTTGAGACTTTAATTTTTAATAGCAGTTATGCACTACAAGACAACTAAACAACAGTATATGTATTTGTAGAAAGAAGACCTCTAAGTATTTAAAGGGAAAGCCTGAGCACTGAAATAAGTTTAATACATTTGACAGGTTTTGGCCTCATTAATATGCTGTATATTTCTGCATGCTCAAATGTGCATAGTTTTTGCTCAAATAAATAAATGTTTGCAGAACGTTGCACCATACGCCTGCCTCCTTAGCCACACCCTCTGACTCCATAAAAAGACTTCCTTATCAAAGATATGTACACAGCTCATCCATTGACAGTACTTAATTATCTGAACAACAAAGCAAAATACATTAGAAGGAGAGGACACACAGTGAGACATACAGTGTTTGTTGTTTCTCTGACTGTCTGCAGCAGTGCTGTTGAGACTATGTGCATGCCTTTGATAAGGAAGCCTTTCTAACATGAGGAGACGTGGCTAAGGAGGCAGGCTTATGGAGCAGCATTCTGCAAAACATTTATTTTGTTGTGCAAAAACTATAAAGTTTGAGCATGCAAAATACAGCATCTTCTTGAGGTCAAAATCTATCAAATGCATTAAAGGACCACTATAGGCACCCAGACCACTTTAGCTTAATGAAGTGGTCTGGGTGCCAGGTCCCCCTAGTGTTAACCCTGCAGCTAAAAAGATAGCAGTTTCAGAGAAACTGCTATGTTTACATTGCAGGGTTAATCCAGCCTCTAGTGGCTGTCTCCCTGACCACCACTAGAGGCTGCTTTTGCGATTTATACGTCCTTACAGACCTCCAGCGTCAGATTTTCCCCGTAGGAAAGCATTGAATAATTGAATAATGCTTTTCTATGGGAAGGTCTAATGCGCACGCGGCCATGGCAAGGGAGGAGCGTGAGCGGAGCCTGACCCAGCGCCGAGGGACATCGTAGCTGGATTCAGGTAAGTGGCTGAAGTGGGGCCCTGAGGAAGGGAGGGTACTCCAAGAGACTATAGTGCCAGGAAAACGGGTTTGTTTTTCTGGCACTATAGTATCCCTTTAACCCCTTAAGGACCAAACTTCTGGAATAAAAGGGAATCATGACATGTCACACATGTCATGTGTCCTTAAGGGGTTAAAGTTGTACTGCTACCAGAGTATCGCTTTAACTAAGAATAATTTGACACTTGTTATTTAACCATTTTATAACCAACCTTTGTCAAAATCCCTCATTATGTTTGCTATTTTTTTTTAATGTGTTTTATTTTTGTGGGTTTTTTTACAGACCATGTGGATATCTCTTCTAAAATGACCCCAACTTTTATCCTGATACTGCTATAGCCCACATTCCCCCATCTACACCAGATGTTTGAGAAGTTATAGGGTTAAATTTCAGTCATTCCATTTTCAGATTTCACCAGTTGATTTATTGGGCTCATGTCCTTTTTGGGATAAAATAGCCAAATAAGACAGTGTAGGCTCGTTTAATATGGTACATTTGGAGGATTATCACTTGGCAGTTTCATCTCCAAATTTGTTTTATTGATTTTACACATTCATTTTGAATTTCAGATTGTGTGCTCTCGTTTGTATTCTGTTTTATGTCCTACGTACAGCTGTATAACTCCCAGAGTCACATAAGAAACATGCCCTAATGTTGACATGCTTCCTTGCTAACCATAGCTAATCTTAGCCCCTGTCTAATTCTAACCATACTGACGTCAAACTGTGCAACCTGGGGATGTTTCATCACTGTGTGCCACAGTAATCACGTAGCTTTACATGTAAGCGAAGGCATGTAGCACTGTGATTGGCTCCCAGGGGAATCAGTCAATACAATTGGTGGGCATCCTCACTTGTAAGGCAGTTAGGGTTGTCACCTGACCACTATTTTACTGGTACAGCCAGTGTTTGAGGTGTTTGAGGCTTTGTGTCCGGTGCCGGTATTGCAGGATTACCAGAAACGCAAGGGCCGGTATTTCTGTCTGATGGAAACTCTAGACCTGCATGTATCTCTCCCCATGCTCCCTGAGACAGGCAGGGTGGGGAGATATACTCGGGCAGAGTGGAGAGAGATACATACTTGCTGTGACGGAACGCTGGCACTGCGACTGAGTACCTCCGCCAATCGATGCTCCTAGTGCTCGTTGAGGACTCCAAGCACTCCAACCGACACCATCAGCACTGCAGACCCACTTCCAGCGATGCAGCTGTGCCGGGGTCTCGCTGTCTCCACCCACCCTGGACCCAAGGCCAGGATCCAGCTTCCAGTGGGTGAACCTCTCTTTCCCCAGAGAGCAGGAACAAGCTCTTAGCAGAGCTTAGTGAATATACCCTGGGGAGTATAGTGAATATAGCAATCCCCAGAGTGTAGTTTTCCAATCCCCCCCAAACATGAGCCAAGGCTTAATGCTGGAACAAGACTTTACTGGAAGTAACAACAACAGGTATTCAAGCTACAGTTTCTTTTATGCCCTACTCCCATGCAGGGGAGGGACACACACATTATCTACAGTAGTCAATAAAACAGAGGTTACAGCCCACACAAAATCCTCCCCTCTGCCTGTGATTCAATTATCTTATACAATAGACGATTCAATTATCACAAGCAGGAAAAATACAGTTTTTACAGCATATTCATAACTTCTAAAATATACATCACATTTACATAAAAATATATATATTCACAATCAATCCATTCAGGGAAACAACATATCAAAAAATGGCATGAATCAGACCAGGGGTTCAGAAGTTAGTAAAGTATCTTTTGGGGCTTGGCTGACAGCATGGCTATCTGGCCCAAACTGGTTTTACAGAGCCCTCTATCCTGGAGACAATGGGGAAAGTAATCCAATTATATCCAGGGATAGAGGCAGACTCCATTGAGCACATGTTCCCAGTAAAACACAAAAGGATACAAAAATACATAACTTTTATCATACTGAATTGAACAGGCCAAATCTCCCAGGGTCCATAGTCACAGGGCAAGAGGCGGGCAAGCAGTCCTCTCCAGGCACAAGTGGCGAATGGCACTTCGTCACAGTAATAAATGATAAAGTAGCAGGGAGGGAAAGTACCGAATGAATGGAGGGGGAGATTTGCAGATCTGGGAGATACGTTAAGATTGATGATTAGCCCCGTCCCTACCTTACCAGCATGCCTGCCTTACCAGCACTGATGTGGTTAACAGCCAGAGCTGCTGTTTACAGCTCAGCAGTATTAATCCCAAAGGTACGCAGCATTCCGTAACGTCGTGTCCAGTGACATCACGTATACAGAAATAATTATGCAAATTATCATGGCCGGTATTTTTTTCCCAGAAAGGTGGCAACCCTAAAAGCAGTTCATTAATAGCTAGCTATACACAGATACCGAATTAACCATGTTCGTAATCATACCACATCAGCTTATTGCATACACACCAATAAATACAATTAGCGAATAACTCTAAGCACGTACGTACATAACCAGTCTCTTAGGTGTACGTCAATTCATACATAACCAAATCGTGGACAGAGTGAACTTTAAATCGCTTCCTAATGAAAGTATATACAATCTAATCCCCGTATGTTTAATTTCAGCCTCAGAATCAGTGGGAAAAGATATATTTGAAGGATTTCATGCGTCCATTTCTTCAATGGACTGTTTAACCGACAAGGAAAGTTTTATTTTAAATAATATGGATAAATGTAAAGCTGTGACGCAGAAGAAGAAATGTATTGTCCAAGTCATTGACGATTCAGCTTCATCTGAAGATGAAAGTCCTTTGCCTACATGCTCAGAACATTCACAGACAGAATTTACTGCTATGTACGTTAAGGAAGAATCACATTATCATCCACCAGACGCTGACATCTATGAACCCGCAGAACACGCACAGACGGAATCTCCATGTATCCACATCAAGGAGGAACCAGCCTCATGTGAAGAAGAAAATCTCACAGATACTGACATTTATACACCCACAGAACAGACACAGACAGAATATCTGTCTACTAATATTAAGGGACAATCATCTTCACACGGAAAAGAAACTCTCACAGATATTTATACACCTGTGACTCATACACAGGCAGAATATCCAACTACTCCTATTAAGGAGGAACCAGACTCATTTGAAGAAGAACATTTCACAGACCTTTATACGATGACAGAACATTCACAGACAGAATATACATTTCCTATTATTAGAGAATATGGAAATGGGAGAATGCGTTTAAAGGAAGACATTTTGTTGATAATGAAATGCAATTATTGTGGTAAAAACTTTAGCAATAAATCTATTTACGAAGCTCACATGAGGACACACATTACAACTAACATCTATAATTACTCAGATTATGAAAACTGCATCACTAATAATATGGATCATAGAAAACATCAAGCAGTCCATACTGGAAAGAAACTGGCCTGCTCTGAATGTGGAAAGAAATTCAGTCACAAATCGGGGCTCAATGCTCATTTGAGAAGTCACACTGGTATTAAGCCATATCCTTGCTCAGAATGTGGAGCAGCGTTTACCCAGAAGTCCAATCTCATTAGGCATCTGAGAACGCATACCGGTGAGAAGCCATTTTCTTGTGCAGAATGTGGAAAGTCTTTTACCCGTAAATCAGAGCTCCTTAGACATCAGAGAGCTCATACAGGGGAGAAACCATTTGCATGTTTGGAATGTGGAAAATGTTTTGCACAGAAACCAGCCCTTGTCAAGCACCGAAGAACTCACACTGGTGAGAGACCATTTCGGTGTTCTTTGTGTGGGAAAAGCTTTGCACACAGACGAGATCTTCTTGCACATCAGAGAATTCACACAGGATAGGAACTGTTTGCGTTGTTTGAATTTTGGAAACATATGACAAAGAAATCATATCTCTTCAGTCTGAAGATTAACTCAGGAAAAAATAAAATGTTTTTGTGCTCAGAATGTGGGAAATATTTTGGGTGAGAGCACATCCTCAACGATGACTTAAAAAGCACTGAGGTTTTATTTTCTGTTAGATTAATACTTTACATGTCAAAATAGAAGTTATGTAAGGAGTAAAGATGCACTGTGTTATTTTAAACCTGTCTGTGTGTTTGTTTTGGGTGTACATTGTGTAACTGAAGGCAAGCAGCAGATTATAACGTAGAATGTTTTTCCATCAGTGTGAAGGGGGAAAAGGTCTAATCTCTCTTATGTTGGCTATATAAGTTCTATATAAAAATAATCCTTTTCTTTTAAAATAAACGTATTCATCAGGGAGGTGAATCAGAGCATCACTTCTTATTATAATGTCTGTGTCAGAAAAGAAAAAAAAAAGAAATCTGTTTTCCGGATTTTTTTTTACACTTTCTGACCAGCTGTGTAATAATTCATCTCATGCTCTGATTGGCTGGTTTTAAGCTGCACAAATGGGAAGGACTGTTGGTTTGCAGTCTCCCTATTGGCAGATACTAATGTTTCGTATTGTTTCATCCTTGCGCATGCCACAGATAGTAGATATACTGCAGGACACTATTGTAACCATAGTTCATTCTCAATACATTTTGTATTACAGACTAGTAATAAAACGTACAGCTTAGAAACTCTTACAGAGTGGAGTCCCAGGATTTGACAAGCACACCCCCAGCTCTCACTCACATGCTGTATCACATGTCTCTTTTACTCTTGCTCTCCAGAGCCATACTGTGATTTCTGGCACGTGTTCATTATACTCCCGCCAGCCATCATGCCGATTCTTACACATTGATCCAAGCCACATTTCCTGTCAGCTCATGCTGGTTAACGGTAGTGTAACCAGCTTCGGCTTGCTGAAGTGAATATAGTGCAACAACTGTGCATGGTTTTATTTTGAAACCCTGCCATGTCCAATATATTTACCTTTTTTCCAGGGAGTGACTTGCAGATAACTTTTTCTGGCAGGCTATGTCAGTTTTATTGCAATTTGTGCAAAGAAACAAAATCTTAAAGGATCACTAAAGGGTCAGGAACACAAGCATGTATTCCTGGCCCTATAGTGTTAAAACCACCATCTAGCCCCCCAGGGCCCCTCATGCCTCCATAAATATAGCAAAATCTTATTGTATTCAAGCCTGAAGCTGTAACTCTGCATGCTGTTAGACTCAGAAAAACAAGCAGTCTGCTGACATCATCAGAAGTGGTAGCCTGATCCAATCACAATGCTTCCCCATAGGATTGGCTGAGACTGACAAAGAGGCAGATCAGGGGCAGAGCCAGCATGATACACAGCCCTGGTCAATCAGCATCTCCTCATAGAGATGAATTGAATCAATGAATCTGTATGAGGAATGTTCAGTGTCTGCATGCAGACGGGGGAGATACTGAATGTTTGGATGACCCAGGAAGGATCTCTAACAGCCATCTGAGGAGTGGCCAGTGAAGTTATCCCTAGGATGTAATGTAAACACTGCATTTTCTCTGAAAAGACAGTGTTTACAGCAAAAAGCCTGAAGGTAATGATTCTACTCACCAGAACAAATTCAATAAGCTGTAGTTGTTCTGGTGACGATAGTGTCCTTGTAAAGGGATACTTCAGTACACAAATACTAATAACACTATTTAGTAAATATACCCTCAATGAAACGCAAGCATCTAATTATTCCCTTTTATTGGGGATAAATCTAAAATCGATCTTGTCTGCTGCCTTTGCATACAAATCAATGTTCCATGTGATGTTGCTGTATCAGAGAGATGAGAATGTACAAACCAGTAAGTGTGAGATAATCTACACTTAGTCTTCACGACTTGAGAAAACACTCACAGGGTTGTCTTAAACTCAGAATTTTCACGAATTAAATCCAATTTGCAAAAACAGAGGCAAAAATAGACTATGGCTGAGTTGGGGACTTTTTCCAGATTTTTGGCGCCACCTTCCCAATCTGATTTATTTGTCATAAATTCATAGTTTAGTGAATAACCCTGTTAGGAAGGTTCTGGGTTCATGTTGCAGTTGTGCCAGTAAATTAAATTCCGGGGGACGCAGTAACATCCCTATATGACACAAGGGTTTGTAGGTCTACCACATATGCAGTATATGTACTACTATAAGACCCATTGTACAGCGCTACGGAATCTGATGGCGCTATATAAATAATAATATGCATCCATAGGACGTAACCTGGTATTGTCCAGCAAAATATGAGTAAAATGTCTCATTAGAGGAGTTGTTACTGAGACAAGATACCTATGTGTTATTGTATAAAATACATTGTCCCTCCCATTAGCCATGTATTACTCCCGACATCCTCTTTATTTGTGCTAAACGTATTTAACTGTGTGACATCGAACAAAATCGGATTATTTTAATCATTGCCAATTTAGCACCTTATCATCAAAAGGAGTAAAATCCTACTTGTACGGAATTTAACCCCTTAAGGACACATGACGTGTGACATGACATGATTCCCTTTTATTCCAGAAGTTTGGTCCTTAAGGGGTTAAATATTGGTTAAGTAGTCGGCACCATCCATGATACTCACAACCTGCTCTAGTGAATTATGGAGCCGGAAGTGCCCTGGCACCCATCTGGGGTAAATAGTAAAAAATGCAGAGGCTTCTGGGTAAAGGTGGTGATGGCAGGTGCTCACTGGACCCCGGGAAAGTTATCAAACTGGCAATATACTTTTGGAGGGTACCCTCTGGCCCCCCTATAGAAGTCTGTAGTGGTTGGGATGGAGTGTTACTTAAGGGAAACGTCAAACCTCTAAAGCACTTTAGTTTATTGAAAAGCTTTGTGTGAAGAGTGTGTCCTCTTTTTTAATTTTTTTTATTTTATTTAGCAAAAAATGCAGATTTACATAGAGATTGTCACTTTTGTAAATTAACCTTGTTATACCCCCCCATGCTGTCAATCAGACACCAGTCCTCTTACTTCCTGGTTGTTTAACTCAGTGGACATCACTCAAGAGGCAGCAATTGCCCAGAGCACCTGCCTTGCAAAAACTTCTCATTGAGCTGCATTAGGAGGTCTGTGATTGGACAGCTACAGAAAGTCTGTGTGGGGTTAGAAGGGGAGGGCTTGCAAAGGCTGCAGACGAGAGAACTGCAGATTTTGCAAGTTGCTTTTACATATTCCCCCAATGAGAAAATGCTTAAAGGGACTCTCCAGTGCCAGGAAAACATTAGTTTTCCTGGCACTGCAGGTCCCTCTAGTGCCCCTCTCCCTCCCACCCCCCATCCCATGGGTTAAAACCCCTTCAGTGACTTGCCGGAGGGACATCGGTGCTGGGTCAGGCTCCGCCTATGCTCCTCCCCTGCCATCAGCTGGAGGGGGAGACCAAATGCGCATGCGCCGCACACGCGTATTAGACCTCCCCATTGGAAAGCATTGAATAATGCTTTCAATGCTTTCCTATGGGAATTGTGGCGACGCTGTTGGTCCTCACATAAAAACACAGAAATGCCCTCTAGTGGCTGTCTAGTAGACAGCCACTAGAGGAGGACTTAACCCTGCAAGGTAAATATTGCAGTTTATGAAAATTGCAATAATTACCTTGCAGGGTTAAGGGTGGTGGGCGTTGGCACCCAGACCACTCCAATGGACAGAAGTGGTCTGGGTACCTGGAGTGTCCCTTTAATTAAATGCATGCAAGTTTAATTTGGTGTATAGCTACTAAACAGCGATTTTAAAAATTCTTACTAATTGGACAGTTGTGCTAGCAAATGCATAGATTTTAAATATGTGAATTGAATTAATGTCCTCCCCCTCCTGATTATTAAGTGCCCTTATAGAGATCTGTGCTGTTGACATTGACATCTATGCTGAGAATTTCTTGACAAGAGAGAAGCAAGAGACCTCTTACCAAACCTCTTATTTTGTATCCCCTCTTATAGTTCCTTATTTTGCCCTTACCACTGTAACTGTCTCACTGTAACTGTCCACTTGCCTACTGTACACCGTTAATGTGATTGGCCCAGGATTGTTAATGTAACACTTACAAAGTCGGCATGATGGCAGTATTATTTGCAGTGGACAGGCATTGTAACTTCATATTGCGTTAAAGGCACTCAAAGCACCATAACTACTACAGCTTGCCCTAGTACGCCTTTTTTTTTATTTATTTTTTTACAATGGTCTGACTTCTTACTCACTCCCTGCTTCCACTACTTATGTCTGAGAATATCAGCCAATGAGCTAAGATCTGCACTGTAGCACTTAGTTCACACACAGAGCTCTTGATTCTCCATAATCATTAGTAAAGTCGGGTAGTGACACTTGGTGGATCCAAGTCAGACGTCAGTCCGCTCTAAAAACAGTTTGGCTGCTTACAATGCAGTGGGGTGGGGGCACTCCTGTCACCAAAGCCATTCCAGTGAGTTTGGGCATGGTGCTTGCACGGTTCATTTAAGAGAGGAGATATTTCATTGTTCATTATATGCTTTGCCTAGTAAGGTGATACAGCTTAAAGTGAACCTGAATCATCATATGCGTCTCATCTTTTCTGTGGAGTATATAATGCTTTCCACTGTTTGTAGTGGCTGCATTTATACTGAGGTTTTTTTCAGCTGATTTTTTAAGAGCTTACATTTATATGTACTAAGGGTTTCTGATTTTTTTAATTTTTTTAGGGTCAATGTGTTGTTTTTGTCTTGTGTCTTGCCATTTAGTGCAAATAAATGGTTATTGTGTTCTAAAACACTTTCTGTCTGCCTTAATCTGTGAATTTAAATCACAAATGTTTATTTATTAAACTGGTTATTGTTACGAATGTAAGAGCTATTTGTTTTTCTATTTTGGCATTTCAACTTAATGTCAATATATTACTTGCAGATAAGATTTTTCACATATACAGAAAAAAATGAAATGTTGGATTGCATGT